GTTTTTAACTATTTGCAATGTCAACAATATCCGATGGATTAACAAAAAATTGCAGTAATTTGTAATAATTAGGAAAAACGAATGATGAAAAATTTGTGAAAATATCTTGTCATACGACGCGAGACTTTTAAAATTATGTACTCTCATTGCAGTTTCTTCAAAGACATTGCTACAAAGGCCAATAGCCGGGTCCCAAGTGCCTTTCTGTCCCTTGGGCAAAAGAGTGCCCGACAGTTGGTCGAGCATCGAGCCAGGGACTTTCAGAGTCAGAGGAGTTAGTTATTTCAGGTAAAAAGAAAATAAAATAAAAAAAAGGAAAAATTGAAACCTCACACTTGCATTAACAAAAACCTTTATATAAGGCTTGCAGGGACTCTGTTCATGTCATATATTTCTTTGTTTATTTGTAGAGATAAGAGAAAAGAGCATGCCCCGAATTCTGCTGCGTATTATCCAATTGGCCTCGATGTTTTTTTATCTCAGAGGAAAATTAATCATATTGCTCGGTTTGTTGAACTTCCCTTTGTAAATTCTTCGGGGAAACTCCCTCCCATTATGGTTGTAAATGTTCAGGTACACTCTAATACCCTAAAGTATAAGCCTTTCTCAATTAATTGATTAATTACCGTTAATAACTATTTTTTTCCCTTTTTTTTTTGGTTAATATTAACTCGGGGGCCTCTTTCTTTTCCTCAGATACCTTTATATCCTGCAGCAATCTTTCAGGGCGAGACAGATGGTGAAGGAATCAGCTTTGTTTTGTATTTTAAACTCTCTGAAAGCTTCGCCAAAGACCTTCCACACTATTTTCAAGAAAATATTCGGGTATATGGCATTTAACTTCTATGAGTTTAGACTATTTTTTTTGTTCAGTTTAAATTGATTGTATGTTTGTATGTGTGTGTATATATATATATATATATATGATTTTGATAACAACAGAGGTTAATCGACGATGAAGTAGAAAAAGTCAAAGGCTTTCGTACAGAAACAATTGTTCCCTTCAGAGAAAGATTGAAAATTTTGGGTCGTGTGGCGAATGTTGATGATCTCCCCATGAGTGGCGCCGAGAGGAAACTCATGCACGCTTACAACGAAAAACCCGTGCTTTCTCGCCCTCAGCATGACTTTTACTCGGTAAATTTTTAATTTTTTATTTATTTTATATGTATATTTTTAATTTAATGGAAAACAATCGAAAATCTTATCGTTAACTTCTGGCTGGAAAAAACATATATAGATAAATAAAATGTAGTTCTTTGTGCACGACTTAATCAGAATGTTTAATTTCTTTTTATCTCATTTTCTTGCAGGGCGAAAATTATTTCGAAATCGACTTAGACATGCACAGGTTCAGCTACATATCGAGAAAAGGGTTCGAAACGTTCCTGGACAGGCTAAAGCTGTGTGTTCTGGATTTTGGATTAACAATTCAGGTAAATATTATTATCATTTATTTACAATGACAGATAAATTTTATTTGGTTCCTCTGTTTTTAATTTTTATAGTTTTAAGATTTTTCTTGGCTAAAGAGGTTTAAATATTTTTTATTTGTGTATTTTGTGTAATTATTTTGACAGGGTAACAAAGCTGAAGAGCTGCCTGAGCACCTTTTGTGTTGTATAAGGTTAAATGAAATTGATTATTCGAATTATCACCAGCTTGGATTTTATGAGGAGACACTTGAATAGGCTTGCTAATAAAGGTGTAATTTATATCATCCATATAATTTTACCATAAAATTTTCATTTTTTTTTTATAATATAGTTGATTTACAAATAATAATTTCATTTTCCATAAATTGGTAAGGTGTATCTTCACAAACCAAGAATTACGAGATCATGGTATTTAAGTTTGAATGTATATATATGTGTGTGTAGATTCGAATGCTTAACTAGCTGTAAGTGGGCCAAGCTTAACTCGAGCCCTTAACTATCTCGGCTTGGCTCGTCAACATGAAAAGTCAATAATCGAGCTCTTGAGCTCGGCTGGTTTATCAATACTATTGAATTTAGGTTGAGCCTTAGCGAAACGAACTCAAGCTTGAACGCACCGAGCTATAGAAATTGTATAATAAATCATATTTTTGAACTTTAGCGAGTCGAACCGAGTTTGACTCGTTAACTAAACGAGCTTGAACTCAGCTTATTTATCAAATGAATTGATCTGAGTCGCGCTTATCGACTCGTTTTGTTGAGAAGTTTTTAACAACAACCAAACTTAATATGGTGGATTCATAGCTCAATAGAATCATAACATTAAAAAAAAAAAAAAAGTTATAATCATGGCTACGTTTTTCTTCTAAAGAGGCTCCACGTTCATATATCGGAACCAAAGTCGTTAACTTTAATACTGGGCTACAGGGATTACCCACTTATTAATGCAAAACCCATTGTTGTTATCTGGGCCCAATTCTATCCTCCACACACCCCAAGCCCACTTTCCACTCTCATTTTTATCCATAAAAAAGGTGGTTGTAGTTGGAAAAGGCTCCAATGCATTGTGCTGTGACCCAACCCAAACTAGCTCGACGGGTCAACCAACTCCGTGTGGGTCTGGTTAACAAGGAAACCCCAATCAACTTGGCCTTGACCCGATCAGTAAAAAACTTTATTAAAAAAAAACTTTTAATTATTTATAAAAATTAAAATTATTTACGTATATTTACGGCGTAAATGTTTATGACGAGATACAATATTATTAATAACTTTGACGTACAATATTATTAAAACTTTAATGTATAAAATTTACATATAAACTATTTCTACAGTGTAAAGCTCAAATGTGGCAGCTAAAAAATAAAAGCATGTCAAAAGCAGCAATTATTCACTATTGGATCAATTCACATATCTATATAGACGTGTCAGTTCGAGAATAAACGAGCCTAGCCGAGCTAAACAGGTCAGTAATCGAAATCGAGTTAGGCTCGCTTTTTTAACTGCTTTATCATTCGAGCCGAGCTGAGCTAAACTTGAACGTTTGCCAGTCGAACTCACAAGCAACTCATTTTATTTATTAACTTTTGGGCTTTGGTATTTATTAATCTAAATCTAAATGGTTGAAAATAAAAAATATAATAATTAAAAAAAAAAAAAAACTGCACCGTTAAATTGAAATGTACATATGAGATCCTTTGCACGCAACGCAAGCGTGCGATTTCTCCCCATCACACAACACAACTTCACTTTGTGGGGCCCACTTTTTTTACGCGCCTGCACGTTCTCGCCTCTTTCCTCCTTTCCTTTTTTTTTTCTTTTTTTTTATCTAAAATTATTTTAAAACTGGATTTGATTTATCCATTTAATTTGATAATAATCTTTTTTTTTTTTCTTGACAAAGTTATATTTTATATTTATATATCAATTTTTACAATTTGACTGAGCCAGATTTTGTTGGAGCATAAATATTAAGGTGGACCATTTGTTATACTTTTTAGAACAAATGCAAAAAATATTAAATATTAAGTGTGCAATTAACACAAATTTTACATAGTACACCTAATAGGAGGTCAAATTGTCACATTTTATAAATAAAAATGCATATTTGTATGATGTTACATTTTATTTTTTAATGAATACATGTATTTAAATCAAGGTTTTAAATAGCGGGCTAAAACGTTTATGGCACTGTAACTATAGCGGAGCTATAGCGGGATTTAGCGGCTAAATTGCACATGAATACAAATAGCGGCACGCTGCCCAAAAAAGTTATTTCTCAAATAGCGACAACTTTAGCGAGCTATTTATTTCCTTGTTTAAATGATAGTTTAGTAAAGTCGGTTTTGCTATAAAGTCAACAGTTGGTTCCATAGTTGGGCCAACCTTTCATATGCAACAAGTAAATTTATCATATTAATAAAATTATATTAGTGTTATTTAAGTAATCGGCGAATATGGCATATTTATTTGTTGTGCATAGAAGGTTGACTAACCAACTGTTGGCTTCATAGAAAAATCGAAAGTAAAACAGTTTTGCTGTAAAGCCAACAGTTAGCTCCATAGTGGGGTCAACCTTACATATACAACAAGTAAACTTATTAATAAAATTATATTAGTGTTATTTAAATAATCGACAAATATAATATATTTATTTGTTGCATAATGTTGCATAAAATAAATTTCCAATAGACAAAATCGTTTCGATATTAAAATATCGTGTTCTTAAAAATAATAGAAATAAAACTATAATATTTAATATGTTAATTATGTTTTTAAATAAAAGAAAGTACGACAAATTCATCATAATAGTTACGTATGTCATAATTTTATTTGTTGACTTTTATAGATAGTGTAATCAATTGAGATTTGATTAATAAAATTTATTCAATTATACTTTCTATTGCAAGAAAATTTCTCCATCTTGTAACAATTTTAATCACTCTTTATGTAATAATGATTAAAATGTGTTACAAAACAATATGTCTTTGCCATGTTTCTATTTTCAAGTAGTATTTGAAAAAAAAAAAACTAAAAAAAATGGGTATGTATTGTTTCATTAAAATTTGGGAAAATGTTAAGGTTCAGTTACGGAACCATTCAGTCGGAGTTTGTAACAGTTAAGTCAATATGTAACCGTCATATATAGTCGGTTACAGATCTCGACGAAATGATTCCGTAACGAGACCATAACATATTCCATAAATATTCAGTTAGTTGAACAATAAATTATATTGATTTGGAAACGTCCCAAAATGACAAAAGCTCATAATAAATACACATTTAATTTTTTCAATTACCAAATTGCTTACCGTTAAAGATTGAGCTATTTTGGTAGGAAAAAAAACATTCCCAAACACGCCCTCCACCAGATTTTTCTTCAGTTTTTCGCCATAAAAACCTCACCTTGAGAGAAAAAAAAAAGGATAAATCTCATCACTCTGCAAGAAAAGTTCGAATCCCTTTTCTCAATTTTCAGAAAAAAATGGGCGTCGATTACTATAACATACTCAAGGTGTCGAGGAACGCGACGGAGGAGGACGTGAAGAGGTCGTACAAGCGGCTGGCCATGAAATGGCACCCGGACAAGAACGCCGTGAACGCGGCGGAGGCTGAGGCGAGGTTCAAGCAGATAAGCGAGGCCTACGACGTTCTGGGCCACCCGGAGAAGCGGCAGATCTACGATCTGTACGGCGAGGAGGGGCTCAAGTCCGGCGCGTACCCGCCGCCGCCGCCGGGGTTGAAGGACAGGGATTTTGGGGGAGGCGGCGGAGGGGGAAGGGGGTTTAATTTCAGCCCGAGAGACGCGGAGGATATCTTCGAGGAGTTTTTTGGTGGGTTGGATGGGGGGGAAGGGAAGGGTTCCGGCGGCGGAGGTGAAGGCGGCAGTGGTGGTGGTGGTGGGGGGAGGTTGAAGAAGGCGGCGGTCATGGAGACCAAGCTGCCGTGTAGCTTGGAGGAGCTGTATAAAGGGTCGAGGAGGAAGATGAAGATATCGAGGGTTGTACTTGATGCTTCAGGGTAGGTACATTTGATTTATTTTCTGTTATTATCATCTTAATTTTTTGTTAATTGACTGTTAATTTCAATTTATTTGATTTCTGATGATGAGATTGTGAAAAGTTGATTTTTTAATTGTGTGTGAATGTGATTGCAAATCTATGTCTTGTTATGACCTTCTCTTGTGATTGAAAGAGTGAGCTATCCTTTTTTTTTTCCCCTTTTATGTTAATAATTCTTGGGCTAAACAGCAAATGCAATCAGATAAACTTATATTGATTTACGCTAACTTATGTGATGATGAATTGAGGATGATCCTATGCAGGATTGATTTGTTTTGTGCTGGCCTTTATCCGTAATATTCGTTCGAATGAAGCTATTATAATTCATATGCTTGTTTGAGTTTTTGCTTGATGTGTTTACTTTGTGATTGAGGAGGATTGAAGGAAGTAAAACGTGCTTCCGGCAAAGAAACATGGATATCTTTTCTTTGTTATTAGACATCACATTGAATCTATTTATTACTTAATCCGAAAGGTAAAGCAAACGATTCTAATTGATTCAAAAAAAAATTCAGTAAAGTGTCGAGATAATGAATCTAGAAAACTATGAATACTTTCGAAAACCGGTCAGAATACTCTACTTGTGGGCTGGATAAAGCTACTTTTTTCATGTAAAGCATGACGTAACATATTATTTTTTAAACGAGCCATGATAATTCAGATGAATTACACATGCTCATTTTGGATTAGGAAAAATGTTCGTGTTAGTTGATTCAATTATGTGAAGGCAATTCAATTGGAAGATCAAGTAATTTATGTTATCTGACTCGTGTGCGATTGAATTTGAATTCGTGCTCATTCTCAGTGTCCAACATTAACTTTTGAGTAATATGCTCGAGTTTAATTACGAGAAAAATGAAATGGAAAAGGAAAGTATCCATCTTTCAACATCACCAATAACCCTTCGGCCTTTTCTTTCTTTTTAGACTATGTTTGGTAACCAAATAAGCTAGCTTATAGCTTATTTGGTTAGCTTATAAGCTTCCTATATTCAAATAAACTTCGTTTGGTAGGAAAAAAAGTTCGAGTTTATCTCATTAGCTTCTTTGAGTAGCTTTTCAAATAAGCTCGTTGAAATTTTTATTTCAGGTAATTTTACCAAATATTTTTACCATATAAGCTAATTTTTCAGCTATAAGTCATAAGCTATAAGCTCAAAAATCACTTAGAAGTTGTAAACTAGCTTATTTTTACCAAACATAGCCTTAATTTCGTTTTCTTTCCCTATCAAAATGCAACACGTGAGAGGAAAGAAATGTTTAAGGTAAAATATAGAGTTCAATTGCGTCCAAGTACTATCTTAAGGGGTAGTTAAAATTTTCAAAAACACACACACAAACACATATATATGATGTATGTTCATAATTAGCTGAGTTTATTTATCTCCACTATATATTCTTTAGTTATTTTTTCACGTCGAGACTGTTTTTTTGGTGTTGAAGGAAGCCAACCACTGTTGAGGAGGTCTTGGCTATACACATCAAGCCCGGTTGGAAAAAGGGCACGAAAATCACATTTCCCGATAAGGGCAATCAAAAAGACGGTTTTGCCCCTGGAGACCTTATTTTTGTTGTGGACGAGAAACCCCATCCCGTTTTCAAAAGGGACGGTAATGATTTAATAATCCATCAAAGGATCTCTCTACTCGATGCCCTCACAGGTAAGACTCTCAAAATCGCAACTTTAGATGGTCGGGAGATAACTGTGCAAGTGGCAGACATTGTTAAGCCGGGATATGAAATGTTGATAAAAGATGAAGGCATGCCCGTTTCGAAAGAACCCGGAAAAAAAGGGAATTTGAGGATAAAGTTTGATATTAAGTTCCCTTCGAGGCTTAGTGCTGAACAGAAATTGGATCTGAGGAGGGTCTTGGGGAGGTCTAGTGGTTAGGTTAAACTCTGTTTATGAATGTGAAAAATAAAAAACTACTAAGTGTATATACTTTGATATACTTAAAACTAGAAAAGATGTGCATATTAGTAACTTAGCGTCTTTATGAAGCTGCTAAAACAAGCAATTTTGCAATCGCTATGCAATGTATAAAAGTTTGAGTATTGCTTGCTTGCTTATGGAGTTGCCCATTAAGTATTCGGGTGGTTGATTGGAAGATGATGAGCTTGTTAACTGTATTATTGTTGTTTTTTTTTTCTTCTTTTTATGTGGCATTTGTTTGAGTTATTTCCAGTGAATGCCCATTTTATATCACAACTTCTCCTCATGCCATGAACTACAACAGTTGCTTTTGAGTTTGTGAACAAAAGCTCGTTTGAACTCGGCTCGATTAACAAACAAACAAGCTCTTGTCGAACACGAACGAGCTTTTGTTCACGAACGAACCCTCTAGTCAAAAACTGACAATGATATTACATTTCCTGAGTGTTTTTTTTTTTCTTATTCATTTTCTTGCTTCTTATTTTTCCCCTTTTTTTTTTTTGTTTGGTTCATAATTCTATATTAGAATTTAGAACCTGTGCTGCTCAATTTTCTTCCTGAGTTCTTCCCTTTTTGCCCCCACAACCTTATCAACCTCTTCCCCTCTCTTTATTAGAATGAAAGTTGGCATTATATGAACTCCAAACTCAGTTGCCACACCCTGTTCATGTAAAAAAGATAAACCCACTAATTACAATTAAAGTCCTCAAAAAACAATTTAATAACATTTTAAACCCAAAAAGAGATGTAAAAAATAATAAAAGACAATACATCCAATTCATCAACATCAATTTTGACAAAGTCCACATCTGTATATGTTTCAGCAAACTCTTCAACTGCAGGTTGAATACTATGACAGGGACCACACCATGAGGCTGTGAAGTCTATTACAATCTGAAAAAAAAAAAAAAA